GCATAGCTTACTATAATGCAATGATTATGAAATAACTTATTTATTTATCATTTATTTATTAGTTAATTTTAGACATTGATAAATAGCACCATTTCAGCCATAAAATAAGTACAAATTATAAACTTGAGATTTTTTTGCACCACCGATTCGCTTTGCAAATGCTTTATTTCAGCAGATCTTAATACACTAAATTTTAGTCACTCATGCAACTGATAATTATTTACAAATAGGAATTCACTTACGGAATCTGAATGTATTAAAGGATAATAAATAAGTTGCGTGCCACTTATGTGCTACTCAAGATCAGTTTATCAAAAAAATCATCATTATCATGTTTATCAAAGCATCTATCAGTGAATCATATCAAGCAGTTCTGTCTAGCTCACAAGTACTAAAATAGATATTGCTAAAGAACTAATTTATTATTAATTATTACTTGCGAATGAACAGAAAATCTAAAATTCCATGCACATATATTTCTAAGAACGATTGAATAGTATCGATCAACCAGGTTTCTTTAGAAACTTCCACAATTGTTGCTATTCATGGTAGAATTAATGTTAATCCGTAACTTTGGTAAATATAACTAATAATGTACAAAAGTTACGTTTTTGATGCAATATATTTATTAAAATCAAGAGAGTAAATTCGAACTTTGTCAGGTGCGACAAAAGTTCAAAGTTACTCTCTTGATTTTAATAAATATATAATATCAAAAATGTAACTATTGTACAGTGCATGGAAACAGATAATCGATATCAAGAAAGTTGAATGATTATGACCCCTAGTTGATAGAACACCCTATTATAGGCAACAAATAGTAACACTAACGTCGTATAGAATACACCTTTTTATGAAGTAGTTATTCTCAACTGGCTAACTGCTATACGAATTTTTCCGTGAATTATCAAGATGCTATAAAAGATTTTAAAAATAGTGTTATAAACTCTTATAATAAATTTGAAAAGAAGCACATATTTAGACGATTACAGGTTAGTATCAGTTCATTTAATTGCAAACGTCTGTTGAGCTAATGAAATTTATACAAGTTGCTATAGAACGCAGGATATTGAAGTAACAATTTTTTTCTCAAATAATGGTTGTGAGCCTTACCACCTTTCTTATCTTAATATTTCATGGTCATGAGCCTTACAGCTCAACCAACAGGCCGCCTCTTAAATAGTTTATGGTCATGAGCCTTATAGCTCAACCAACAAGCTGCTCTCTTAGATAGTTTATGGCCGTGAGCCTTACAGCTTAACCAGCAAACTGCCCTTTTAGATAACTCATGGTCATGAGCCTTACAGCTCAACCAGCGAACCACCTTTTTAGTTAGTTCATAGTCATGAGCTTTAAAGCTCAACCATCAGAAAACTCAAAGATTTTCTTTTACTTTATTGGAATATTGAATTTTCCTAAGAATTCAATTAGCAACATCTTACAGAGTTTTTGATTTTTTGCTAGATGTATACACATTATTATAGTAATAATAATTACTAATAACTCATTTAATATTTACTAAATTATCAGTTACATAGTACATTAAATGCAATTCCTAAAATAAATAGTTTGCTTAACAACTATACTCAAAAAAATAGTAATAATTAAGTAACTACAATTTTTATCAACTATAAAATAAAGGTCAAACTTTTATTTTAAGGAATCATCTAAAGAAAAAAATTTTTAAAGAAAAAAATCATTTTAAGTAAGACAAAACCATATATTTTTTAATGATTTTTTGTATATAACAAATAAAGAATTATGCTAATAATGATATTTATTGTTTTAGCAAAATTATCTTCCATAGCCAAACTACTATTAAAGACTGGACCCATATAAGAATTATTATAAATAGCATGTATTTTTTTATAGAATTTTGAATAGTTCCATTTTTCAATGAAAAATAAAGCTATCATCGCAAGTCATATATGTATGACTATAGTTTGGCTTTTTCCATTCGATGTGATTATATCTACCGAGAATTTCATCAGGTTCTTTGACTTTAATAGCAACAACAAGATTTGCTTGCTTATTGCATAAATTTGGTTTATTTGATTAAATTTATTAATAGTAATATAACTATTACAATTAATAAAGTTAAAATTTTGCTTTAATTATTATTGTTATTGGCCATCACTCTGGATTGATATATTTTCATAATATCGACCTTCTCATTTAATGTATCAAAATTTTTTTTGATTTTACAAATTATTTTATCGATTATACGTTCTTCAGAATCATCGAAAGCATTACCTAATTTTTCAATGACATAATTAATAATGTCTAGTTTCATGCTAGAAACATTTGTTAATAAGATATTAAGTTCTGATGTTTCTGCTCTTCTGCTATATTCATTTGTATTAAATATTACATAAATTCCTATTGTTGTACGATTGGGATACCTTGACATCATTCCTTCAAATTTTCTAATATCATCAACACCAACCTTTGCATCTGTATAATTCTTACATTGAACTAAAATCAAATATCCTTCAAAGTTTCTAAAGATATCTATTCCCCCATCACCATCAGGATCTAACAATCTATATTAAAAAAAAAAATCTAAGTAGATGTTATCATAATTATCAAGGATATAAATATTCTGAATGACTGAAATCAAAGCATTTATCCATGCATCCTATTCACCACAGCCCCAGAAGTAAATCAATGGCTCATGTAAGCAAAATATACAGTAGTTTTTTGGATTATATATAAATCAGAGAAGAACGTTCATAGATCTGGTTATTCTAGTCAAAATAACTATCTAAGGCCACGTTGTGCTTCCAGTTCTCTGCTTATTATATAATCCTAGTGGTAGCGTAACTTCAGATACATAATAACTAAACAACTACTTAATAAGATTACTATCTTACCTTACTCTTTAACAATCAATCTTAGTGTTTTAAGAATTCTGAAAGCTATAAATTCAAGTTTATTTCCTTTTGATTTAGAGAACAAAGTAATAAAAGGATCAGGATCCTTCTTTTCATTGATCTCAACTAGATATGTATTAAGACTCATATTTATTGAACTTGTTTGAGATTTGTTTAACCGAATAAATTTTACAAAGTTATATATATATAATACTTACATAATGATAATTCTCATAGTTCTCATTTAAAAACATGCTAACATTCTATTTTGGTTTGCAAAAAATTTTTTAATTGTTCATGAGAAGAATAAATGAATTAGTAAAAATTGATAAACATCTTTTAAATTATATCATGTGTGATCAAATCACACGCTTATTTTTGAAAAGACTCATTTATCTCAAAATTTCACCTAATAAATCGACTTTTGTATACTAACAAAAAATATTCCTTGCAAGATTTAGTTATAATTTTATCTATTAATTCTGATATTAATCGTAAATCTTTGAGAACTTGAGAGAAAATTAGTAAATCTTATGATAATTTAGTGTACTCATAATATATCAGATGTGATCAAATCACATGATTACTGATGAATTAATAATTTAGTATACTCAATCTGATCTGAATTATAAAAAGTTGACTAGCATTATAGTATTGAATTGCATTATTTTAAAAATTGTATTTAAATTAGTTTAGCATAGCTTTGTTGAGTTTGGCTTAAATTAGATTGTCCAAACTTATGCTATTTCAATTCTGTTTCTATTGTATAAACAACCTGAAATCGCATAATCTGAATACTCTAGCTTAAATCACAATACAATATATTGATATGTGTTATGTTTCTGGGTCACAAGACCAGTGAATCAAAGTTATTTTTTTATATCTATTTGCTATCTCTTTTTAAAACATCTATTTTTGTTTTATTGTGAAAATATACAATAGTTAATATTTATAACTATTAGTTATATAATTAAATAGTAGAAAATTTTTGTTTAAAAAAATGTACATGTGTAATATTTACTTAAATGAAAGTTTTTGTTATACAAAATATGAAATCAAAAAAATTTTTTATATAAATATACGTCCTCAAAATAAAAAATTATCATAGAACTGGATTTAGTACTAAGTAACCCTCCCTTTGAGCTTAACAAAAGTTGTTCTAAAGAACAACTTTTGTTAAGCTCAAAGGGAGGGTTACTTAGTACTAAATCCAGTTCCAAGATAATTTTTTTGTCTTATACTTGAAATTTTTTATTTGACTCAAAATAGCAACATAAAAGTACTGTACATTTTCTTTTATTTAAAAAACATTTAAACTAATTAAATAAATTCATTACCATAAATAACTGTATTTAAATTAGTATCATGAGATGGCCCTTTGGGGCATCCATAATCAATATCTCAGAGAAATTCACTTAGAAGCAAATATTTTGCTATTCAACTAAAGAAGCTGATTAATAAATCTCCAAATATATATATATATATGTATTTACAAAAAAGTGAATATAAAAACTGTTAATTGTAAAAAAACAATTTTGTAGGAATAAACAAAATACACAAACACACATGACAAAACAAAATACACGAACACATATAACAAAACAAAATACACGAACACACATGACAAAACAAATACACGAACATATATGACAAATTGATTACACAACTTAATAAAAGTACCAGGTAAGTTTGAATTTGCTTATTTAAAAATGGAGGACCAAAGACCTATTATTCTTTGGTCCTATCCGAGATCTCTTTCTACAGTTTTTGAATAACTGTTTCTTCAACTTCCTCAAGAATTCCATTTTATCTATGAACTACTTAATCCAATTGGCTATGCAAAAAACTTTGAATTTTTGAATCAAATTCCATTATCTAAACCTACTGATCTGATCACTTTTGTACATCATTTCTCATCTATTCTTAATGAAATTCTTGTCCCTCATTACTATAATGATATTAAAACACATACTTTAAGAGTTTTTGTAAAGGATCATGTATACAATTTTTTAGATATATTAGAAGAAGGAAATCTATTAACATCCAAGAAAATTCTTTCAAAATTTAAACATACATTCATAATTAGAAATCCAGAAAAATCTGTAAAGTCTTTTACAAAGCTGCAAATTCTATATATAAAGCTTGGGATAAAGTTTGCAAACCTAATTCTGAAAGATATGATATTTTTTTCCTGAAAAAGTTTGGCTCAAAGAATCAAGGATTCTTTATGATTTAACTAAGAACATAACTGAAGAGGAGATTGTTTTAGTAGATGCTGATGATTTAGTTCGAGAACTAGAGAAAATTTTGAGAAAATATTGTGAGATGGTTAACGTAGAGTTTAAGAAAGAAATGCTTGAATGGAAAGAAGAAAGGTTGAAAATATGGGACTTAAAATTGTCAGGCAAAGATATAGATTATTTGTGGCATAAGTATGTTTATTATTTTCAATTAAATTTCATATATTAACTATGTATTATAAATAAAAAAACAGGAATGTAATGCAAAGCACAGGATTTGACAAATCAATAATAATGATGAAGAAATTGAATATCCTCAACATATTTATGACTTAATTGCTAAAAGCAAACCTCATTATGAATACTTGTTTCAACACAGAATTAAGATTTAGCACATATAGAAATTCGGATGAACTATAGAATAGCGTGTACTAATACACTCGATAATCACATTGTGATATCTGGTTCAAAATATGCTGTT